ATACACATCGTAATCTTCTCGACAGAGCCGTCCGGAAAAGTTCGATTTATAAATGACGAAACAATTTGATTTCCTAAATGTTTTTATTAGTATAACGGATAATGAGAATAAATTTAGAAAGGTAAAAACGATCACATTTTGTTTTTCAAACTTTGTCAAAAGTCTACTTGTAATTGATGAGCGTGAAAGTGTGTGAGTCTGGATGTGGGGGAGAGAAAAAAAGAAGAAAACAAAGATTAATTATTTTAAACTCAAGAGGAAATACGAAAATCTCATCATAATTATACTGACTTTCTCTCTCTCCCCTCTTTTTCTCTCTTTCTATCTTCCTTTTTTTCTCTCTCTTTAATCATATACATGTAGTTGCGTGCGTGTGTATGTGTACTTGTGTGCGCGTACGTGTGCGTGTATGTATATGTGTTTAAAGGGATAGTTGAGTTCTGTTTTCAGACCGTAAATACCTTCAAAGTGCATGGTTATTGCTCTTATTCTTATCTATGACATTTCTAGTGCCCTTTTAGAACCTGAAATTGCTATAAAGATAATTTTAGACCCCAACATGTGTGAAATTTAGCCAATACGAGCATACCATTTCAGCTTCACTTTCAAAAGAACATGGTGACCGTCAGGCGCGTACACAGGGGGGGGGGGGGGGTTGGGGGGGGGTTAAACCCCCCCTTTGGTATTTTTTTGGTGTAAACCCCCTAAATTTCCCTAACCCCTCCCCCCCCCCTTTTGGATTTTTTTTTTTTTTTTTAAATATTCCCATGGCTGACCTCAAAAAGATGACCTAACCCCCCCCCCCCCAACGGAGCAAAATGTCAAAATTTCAAATTTCGATACTAAAAAAAAAAAAAAAAAAAAAAGTGTCCTCTTACCCCCCCCCCCCCCCCCCCCCCCCCCCCCCCCGCTTATTCAGCGGCTGGCTGAGTTGTTGCGCAATTTTCGGCCCGATTTATAAATGTTAAACCCCCCCCCCCTTGAAAAAATCCTGCGTACGCGCCTGGTGACCGTTAATTAATTATTTAATTAAAAATAACAATACATGGGCCAGCTTGTTGTGCGTAATATAAGCAACACAAAAATGCCAACAAAAAAGCCAACATCGGCATTGTTTGAAATACGACGTAAAAGGTGTTATTCCCTTTTCCCCGTTTTTTTCCAAATTGTTCAAAATACCTAATATTTGTGGTGGTACATAAGTATTACAAATCGTTATATTTCAGCCGTCTCTGAACCGATTTTGATCAAACAAAGATGATTTTGTCATTTAAATATTATGTTCTTTCATATTTGACACTCACAACGTGTAAATACCTTCCTCGCCGTGTCATCACGTAACCTTCGAAAAAAATAAATGCCTCCAATTTTCCTGATTTTAATGAAGAAAATATGAAAATGTATGGATATAATAATTGGCCTATATCAATCTAGGCTATCAAATTAGGGATGCGTGCGTGTCATTGACAAATAAATCACTATGGCCTCCGCCTTCAAGAAGATAAGCCAATTATTCTTAACAAATCATGCAGCAACTTTTATCTTAGTTTTTGTTTTACTATCGGTTCTTCTTATTAATATCCCAGGACAGGCATTTCACAATGATTCTGACAAAGAGAGAAAACATAATCACGCAATAGGTTATTAGGGTATGCTGAGACCGGAAACACCTTTGTATCTTCAATCATGCACTCTTACAGATCGAGGTTCTTTCTTCTGCCTGTGTGCCTTTATAGAAGAGTGACTAATTTGCCAACTGGTGTGATAGAGTCTGCATTATTCACTGTTCTTCTCGGCAGGCCACTAGTACATTTTGTTTCATGTTTGAATGAGTAAACTTGAACTATCAAATAAGATGCGGGTCCATTAAATTTCAGTAGTATTGGATAGGCAACGGGTAATGATAAGATGAAATAACTAACGTAGCAGTCCAGGAAATATAAATATACATTGTTAAAACCATGTCCCTCAAAATTTGAAAAAGTCCATTTAAAAAAAAAAATAGCAAATACTGACTAAAGACTGCAACACACTTTTAGGCTCTGAAGGGCCCAAAAGTGCAGCGTTTAGACAATTCAAAATGCAAAAATGTTCTCACTCTGAAGCTACGCTTCCTCGCATAATATCCTTCAAAATGTACAAGTAAATACCGAGAAAATTGAAGTGTGAACAAAGTATATTGCTTGTTTTTATACTAAAGTTTTGCTAAGGAATGTAATTTTGTAGATAACTTTAAAAACCTGTGAGGGGGTAGTCACTTCCGCCACCTTCACCCCTCTCATTCACTATACTCCCTCGCATTTGCGTACTGATGGGGGTTTATGGTTTATTTCTAATTCGATACGAGTGATTTACAAATGTTGTTGAAATGGCCTGATTTTTCCCTGAGCTTCCGGGGGCTCTGCCGCCTGGACCCCGCCAATGGCCCTAAGGCGGTCCCTGGTTGCTCATCTGACCGGAATTAAATGCCTAAAATGCCTGAACTTCCAGGGGGTCTGCCCCTGAATGCTCATATGATCGTAATTTAATGCCTAAAACTCCTGAACTTCGGGGGGCTCTGCCCCTGGACCTCACAAAAGACCCTAAGGCGGGCCCGCCCCCCCCCCACTCTGTTGACGGAGTGATACCATGCGTGTTCCCAAAATCTCCGACTCGTAACAAAAGAATAAAGGTCTACCCGTATTGACTTTACACACCCGACTTTGGCTAAAAAGAGGGGTTACTGGCAACACAGCATATGCGTACCCTAAATAACACTGCGTGGGGGAGGGGGGGGGGGGAGAGCCGGGGCCCCCGGTTCCTCATCTGACCGTAATTAAATCCCTTAAACCCCCGAGCTTCATGAGGCTCCACCCCTTGACACCCGCCGGGGCTTTGCTCCTGGACCCCACGCAAATTTACGCTCCACTTTACTTTGCTTTGCTCTACCTGATCGTAAATACTTTAGCCCCCCCCCCCCCCCACTTTGAAAAACGTTCCCAGGGCCTGCGTAACATGTAAGACTGGTGGCGATGCGGATTTTTTTTGCTCATTACGCCACTGCTCCCTCGTCCCTCGCATTTCTTTGCCGCCCCTGTGAGGATGAAAAAAACAATGAGGAGAAGGAGGAGGAGGAGGAAGAGGAGGAGGAGTAGGAGGGGGAATAGAAGAAAGAGAAGGCGGAGGAGAAGAGAAGAAGAAGAGGAATAAGAAAGAAGAAACCTCATTCTATGTATATTAAGTCCTAAAACAAGAAAACGAAGATCAAATCAGGTATCTCAGAACACAATTCTCAGAGGAGCATCTGGGTATTCAAGCGCCCGGGGCGCGTAATTTTTTTCCCACTTGAGCTCGGGACCCCCGGTATGAACTAATTTGCATACACCCAATCAGAGCTCATCTTGTCATTAACAAGCCTTACGCGTGCTAAAGATGCGCGGCGAAATTCAAAACTGTGCGAAGCTCTGGGCCCGTATTCAATAAACTTCTTAAGCATGAAATCTAAGTACTTTTTCTTAAATTTTGGCTAAGAAAAAATCTTAGCCAAAAATCGTATTCTATAACAGCATTTGAGACTAAGAAATTTGACTTAAGATTAAGAAGAATTCTTAGATTTTATCTAAGAAAAAGGACTTAAATAGCATGTCGTATTCGAATACAATCGAGATATCTAAGATAAGTAAGAAATCTATCCTATGTTTAAGCATACTACGAGGATGCTTAAATAGGGCTTTGGCACCGGCAGCTCAGTGCTGCTGCAAGCAAAAGCTTCGGGTTTCGATCAAATGGAATAAAAACAATGCATGCAGCACGAGCGCAGGTTACCAGTTGACCTATATCAACGTAAGCTTCGCGTATATATATACAGCGTCGACGGCGCAGCTCGTAGGAGCGCCATATATAGGCATTGTACTTGTGTATGTGTGTTTGTACAACAACTAAACAAGTAATATATAGCGTATCTACATAACATTAAATTATGACATGGATGTCGTATATATAAAGAAACCGTCTCTTAAGGCCCGGTCTCACCGCCAGAACTTTGCTGGAGCGTTCCTTGAACGGTAGGGAGAGGGGGCCGAATTTCGACAACGCTCGTCACCGCGCACAAAATGGGAAACAAATCGAAAACACGGGCGTTGTCTTAGCGGTGCACCGCTAAAGCCGGCGTTGCTTTAGCGTTGGTTTAACGGTAGCGAGCGGTAGCGTTGGTCCCGTTCCGACACCTCTATACCAACGCCAAACCAAAGTTCATCACTGCAATGGATCGCTGCTTTAACGCCCTACACCGTTCCAGCAATCCAGTGTCCGCTCGTAAAACGCTTACAACCACTCCACCAAAGTTTGTGCAACGTTTAATCACCGCCCGGGCAAAGCTGGCGAAGCAGCGGTGGTCCAGCGTTCAAGATTTCTGCGTTGGCCTAGCGGACCAAAGCGTCCACGAACTTGCGTCTAGCGGTGCCAAACTTTGACTGGGCGTGGTTGGAGCGGTGGTGAACTTTGCCGGAGCGGAAAATTGCCCGCTCCTCACCGCTCGCAATTTTTTGTGCAGCTCAAAACTTTCGGAGCGGTAGGAGGGACCATCAGCGGTGGCCGAGCGTATACGGCGTTGCCTTAACGGGGGCCAACTTCTGTTAAACGGTGGTGAACGGTTACGAGCGGTGATGAATTTTTTTCACCGCTCCAGGAACGCTCCAGCAAAGTTCGGGCGGTGAGACCGGGCCTTTACTGTAATAGTCTTTGGCACTAAAATATGGAAACAGGGAATAATGTGCAATCGGCATAATATTAGGTGAGACAAAATGTTCCACTGCAAAAATGCACCGAGAGAGCTAGCTTTATTTGTCGTTGTCTTTATGTGATCTGTCCAATTCAGGTTGCTCTTGAGGTGAACATCAAGATATTTAGCAGTTTCCAGTCTCAAGAAGTTGCCCTAGGATGCTGTATGACCATTTGACAGGCTTTCTCCTGCGTGCTACCTTGGTGTCCTTTAGTTTTTGGCCCATCTTCCTCTTATTTCCGCGGAGGTCACTCCTAGCAATCTTCCCATAGCATATTCTATGATGAAGAAAAAAATAAAAAATAAATGAGAGAAATGTTACAACTTCTAATTCAACTGCTCGCATGAACTTGTAATCATTAACAATGATAGGTGATGAATACAAAATATGTAAAAATCTGCATATCCACCCTACATTACCTGAAAAGAAATATCATGAAGTAAATATTTCCTAAATGACATTTTGCCCTCCCAGACATTACAAATTATTCGCTTTGTGTTAACAAGATGCCACGTAAACTAACGTACATTGTAAACAGTTGTTAAAGATATGCTTGAGTAAAAGTATAGGTTCGTAAATCATAAATTTGCAAATAAACATGCTGTATAGCATCGAATATGAGAAAATATTGCTTAGATACCAGATTAAAGGTTATAGTTTCTTATTTTGGTCTACATATAATTAGTCAAAGTCTGAAATCAACTGAATTTAAAAAGAAAACTTAAAAACGACATACATTCAGCAACTTATTATGCTTTTTCTAATCAAAAGCAATTTCCCATTAGCATTGTTAGTACTTTGAGCCAAGGGGCACTGTCAGTATATTTTATAGTAAAATGCCTCACCAATGATGGCATCCACCTTGTCTTGGTCAAGCAACTGCTTCCCTTATTCTCCTCCTTTAATCTACATGCTGAAACTATGCTGTCTGTCATCTCCTCATAGGTAAAGAGCATACCCATGAGTGCAAGAACAGCACATGACCAGGATTGCTTGTGTAGCTCCAGCATTCCCAGCTGCACTTGGGTCAAGTATGTCCGAACCTCATGTATGGAACTGTGGAACAGAAAAGAAATGTCAAGTATTACTGAAAAGAAAAGCACGTTTACAGATTTAAATAAAATAATCAGACATACGCAGCCTAAATTTGACATACTCGGTATGCCACACTTCGCAACCCTACGCAAATCGAGTGTGAAAGTTGTAGTACGACACAGTTCACAACCAAACATTATTCATACTACTCCTAGCTCAAGGAAACGCTAGGAAGACACATTTTCATACATTTTTGGAGATTATTATTGAACATATGTCATTTCTAGTGAGCTAGGCCTACATTTTAGTTGTATGCATTTTCGTCCGACTATTTTTTGCCGACAGAAAACATGAAATAAATTGTAGCAAAATTTGTTTCTTACCTGAATTATTACATGACTCGGAATATGGGATCATTCTCTTTATAATCTAGGGTTGATTTGGTTCATATCTGGAAACATCTGCACTTTTCTCGGCAGAGTTTTGTGATATAGGGTCTAGTCCAGAGCCTAAATTCCGGGGGGGGGGGGTACTCACGTATATTGGGTATACGGGGATGTGCCGCTCGAAAGGATGACTTTTTCAGGAAAGATCCTTGGACATGGGTCCCCTTTTCATAAAAAAATCCTTAGACATGGGTCCTCTTTTTCATTTATTCCTTTCCCCTCTTTTCTCCCTCATTTTCTCCGGGATATTAGGATTTGCTCCTAAATACTCGAGCCTACATTGTAAATGCCTAAATCTCTCCCATCTCTAAATAAATCCGGGGCCTAAACAATGCCGGGGAATCCTTCTGTGATTGCATTTCCAGTGTACGAGGTGTACGTAGCTCGTAAACTCAACTAGACCCCGGGGTACCACATATGTCAGGACCCCATGGGCCCTATATCGGGTACTCATATGGCATAATGCGCGCTAGGTATGGTATCCGCCCGTATAGGGTTCGTACCCCCGGGAACTTGTAGCGCTTCGCGCGCTGAAAATGATATGGTCGGCAGATACCCTGCGTACCCTCTGCCCAGCAGCCGGGCAGCAGCGGGGCTCAAGCAGGGAGCTATATAGCCGATGCTTGAGAGCTCGTGTACGGGTACGTTAATTAAAACAGGAAAAGTCCTTCAATTAAAACAGATGCTAGAGGTGCCAGCGCAGTATTATAATGTTGCATGGCGTTTTCATCTTTAATATGTGTAGCCTACTTGTAAAATACATGTAGTATGGTACAGTTTACTAATAAAGAATTTTATCGAGAAACTGCAAAATGATTGGCCATTGTATTATTACACACATTGGTGCATTACTATCCTGGCTGTGTATTAAAAGCTGTGCTATTGATTCTCAACATTTCAAACACCACTGTACAAAACTCAACCAATTTCTCTCAAAATCGGTACTTAAGTGACGATTGATGACACCTAAATAGCAGTAAGATACATTTTTTTTAACTTTCTGATGTTAGAAGGAATAATAAAACAAAAATCAAATTGTGAGTCCACTGTCAAACTTGCCGATCAGCCGCATCGGCATAATTGTGTGCATCTGTGTGTTATGAGTGTATTGACTATTAATGTATTTAAATGCTGCCTATTAACGCGTAGTGCAGTGCTTAAGGTCAATACGCATTAGCGTTAAACTCTCTATATGCTTTGCTGGAGTGTATTATTACAGCTTAAAAAATGTAATATTTGAAATTTGAAATCCTTAGACATGGGTCCATTTCACACAAAAAATCCTTAGACATGGGTACTTATTTACAGCAAAAGGACCCTTGGATGTGGGTATGGGTTCGGAGGTCTCAGCCGCACACCCCCGTCCGACTATAATCTGAGTACCCCCCCCCCCCCCCCCCCCACCCCCCCCCCCCCCCGGCCTAAAATGGCCGATATACACTACTTAACAGTTTGTGTGTTTAACATGCTCAATTATAATGTCCAAAAATGTTTGAAAAAGTGTCTTTCTAGCGTTCCCCTGAGTGAAGTACGTATAGCAAAGATGATACTCACCATTCAATGACAGCCACGCAGCAGCTCGGTAGCAGCCCGTCAGCACCCTCGCCTGATAGCTATCCTAGCCGTTGGGAAACCTAACCAGGGATATGTGAGTTTCTTACAAGCCCTGACCTAACCATGTAGGCCATGTCCGCCATTCCAGTTATGTTCTCATCCGTCAACATGTCTTTGTAGTTGTACATATTCATCTTATATCACAGAAACTTGTTTGGACTCAATCCAATACACGAGTATCCGATTTTTTCTTCAGTTGTTGTCATCTTATTTAAAACTATACCGGAACAAGACAAATTACGAGCACGATCGAGGACCACATTCCTGCCACATTCTTGAAAACGAAGAGAGCTGCATGCACGCGCACGTGGTATGTATTGTTCGCTATCACTATGAATATGACTGACAATGAGAGCGGACAAAATATACAGTTCCTCAGGTAGACAAAGGAACATCCCTTCACAGCTATGATGTAAAAAGGTGAATATGCATGTGACACCTGTTCTACACATTTTTACATAATAGCAGTAAGGGATGTTCCTTTGTCTACCTGAGGAACTGTATATTTTGTCCGCTCTCATTGTCAGTCATGTTCATAGTGTATACGGGTAGAGTTCAATGTATACGTATACAAAAGTATGCTACGCGTGATACGGTATGGCCTTTGAGCAAATACATATGCAAAACAAAACTGTTAATGATCAGGATTCACAATGTGGATGAGGAATTCATTATGTGTACTGTATTCATAACACTGACCACACTATGTAAATCTACTGTTTCACACTGTGAAATAGTTTTCAAAGAGCGGCCACATTATGAATGATACAGCTCACACTGTGAAATATTTGTCACAGCTAGAGTGGCCATACTGTGAAATTTGTACAGGGCGGCCACACTGTAAATTTTACTTTTCACACAATGAAATATTGTCCTCAGGGCGGCCACAATGTGAATTCTATTTTTCACAGAGCGGCCACATTGTGTATTTTATAGTTCACACTGTAAAATATTTTCCAAAGGGCGGCCACACTGTGAATTCTATTTTTCACAATGTGAAGTATTTTTCACAGAGTGGCCACACTGTGAAGTTTACTGTTCACACTGTGAAATGTATCTCGTAAGGTATTCACACTGTGAAAATCTATTTATCACAGTGTGAAATATTTTTCACAGTTTGGTCACACTGTGAAATCAATTTCACAATGTGAGTACTGTGTGGTTTACCACATTGTGACGGTGTCCACACTGTGAAAACACTCTGTTCACAGTGTGAACTGTGTGTGAGTGTGAATGAGTGTGTTCTTTCCAGCAGGGATGAGAAGGAGTTTAAACTGAATATCATAAATGTTCAGCTTGATGACACTTCTACTTATCATTGCGATTTGTACATAAACATTTCATGTTCGTGTAAAGCCTCTCAGGTTACATTAATAGTGACCGAACAGCACGTCAGTCCAGTAAGTGACTCATCAACTGTTCCAAAAATCAGTTCAACAGCAACCTTAGGAAGGATTACTGCAAATCTTCCAAACGAGTACCCATCGACGCCAATTGCAGTGAAACGCCATGCGACGTTTTTCTATCCGACAATATTCATAGCAACACTTCTCACTTTCATGTTATTTGCTGCAATTTGTTGTTGTCTGCTGGTGAACAAGTTTGAAATCCATTTACGCCCAGAAAATAGTAGCATCGAATTCGTTAACACTGATGTGAGCAATGTGCTTGAGATGAATCTCCGGTCTTCTGTACTACCTGCAGTACCAACGGTACCGAGCCCTTCGAAAGACAATGCGATGTCATCAGAACGGTCTCGGGGAAATTGCAACTCCAATTCAAAGCGAAGTTTTAAAAGCCACCTCGGTCATCCAGAAAAGCAGGAAGCAGACCTCAAACTTGAATCAAGTTCTGATCTCTCTGGAGATCTCACTAGTCAAGGAAAGATGATACAAACATATTCTCAATTTGATGACGGGTGTCCTACCGCTTCTGGGCATTGCGTCTCTTTACCAAAGTTCTGTTCCGAAGCATCATGCTCAGAAGAACGTCAGTCTGCTTACGAAGTACCGATCATTTTCCTGCCAAAAGTTACGAGAACATACTTTTCTACATCGCCTACATATCCCTCAGAATCCATAGAAAATACAGACCGGGAATCAGACGGCAGTGTTTCTTTATTAAACGGCACTAATTGTACGTCAAACTTGGGCGTCCACCATTCAAACAAGATGGATAACGATGTGTACCCTCATCCCGTCGACGAGGAAGAGCATACATACTTAGATTTGAACGACCAAGGTCCTCCGCTTCCTCCAAGAAACCCTCACGAAATGTTACCATGCATATCCTCGACAACAACACCCGAACACGATGCTGTGCAACATGAACCGGCTCTTGCAGATTCTGCAACATCCCAATCCAGTCAAATTTCAATGGATGAGCATACCTGGCACAACCTGGGAGGAGAAAGGACAAGAAGGGCTCCAGCTGAAAACTTCAGAAAGTACATCCAATCCCGTCTTTCTTTGTCGATGAGACTCGGGCATCGAGAAGGGAGAGCTCGACCGGATATCGTTGACTTTCCCTCACCACCACCCTTTCCTACAGGCATCAAGTAGAAATGTAAACTATGCTCCATCTAAACAATGACGATCTCATAGAGGCTGTTCACACCGCAATGAGATAGCGCGGTCTATCGTAGCACCCCCTTTTTTTCTAGCGCGCGCTAGACCGCGCTATCTCTCGTGGACCACCCCCAAGAGGTGCTCCAGTGGCACGCCGTTTTGGCTCGCCGTGGCTCGCTGTTGGGCGGACCGAAACGACGTTGTACCTTCCACACCGCAGAGATAGCGCGGTCTAGCGCGCGCTATCTCTGCCGGTGTGAACAGCCTCATTGTGACCAACTCCAAGCCAAGCATATCTGTCCCCGATGTTTCAGACCGCACCTAAAATCTTTGTATTTCCAATCGTATCGTTGGATTACATATTCACATATAGGTAGGTGGATTCACATATAGGTACATGCAATCCCCCCCCCCCTGTCTTTGATATTTTTCTCCCTCTTCTTTCTTGTTATTGGTACCACCTCATAATTTTACCTTATATTTACTTTTAAGTTTTAATTGTATATATTTTTTTAATTATTGGGGGTAGTCCTCGACAAATCATTTTTGATTTTTAGCTACCCCTTCCACATTTGCTAAAAAGTTTCTTCTTAAAACATACATTGCTCCAACTGGAGTCGTTCTATATATTGTACATGTTCTATTATTGTATTGTATGTATGTATTATATTCTATGTAGCTCCCTATGTTTTGCATTTGTGGAGAAATAAATTGAACTTTGAACTTTGAACTTTGAACTTTGAACTTTGAACTAGCTATTTCAAGGGCTTAGATAACATCAAAATGAAGTTCAAAGTTAAATGACACATTTCGCGCAGTTGATGTCTCCTTTAATACAAGCTCAACTATCTGACGCCTACTATCATATGAGACGTCAATGACCAAATAATTATATTGGACTTGCCTATGTCTCATATACAATTACATTAAGCTTGTACGAATACGAACATATTTCATGTTAATAATTTTTCAGTTTTTAACACAACACTCTTCACTGCTCTCTGTACTCAGAAAAGATTACTATACAGCCCATTCAAACAATCTTAGAATGGCTTGTATCTCTTTAAATCACAACACTATTTGTTACCTTATTTATTTCCTCCCAACTGTCAATATTATGATCAAATTATGTTCATACTCATAACATCAGCTCCGTAAATCCTTTTAATATCATTACCGGCTTGTATTTTTCAGCCTTATGAATTTAATCAAATATCCCAATTAGCTTTAAAACGAGAGTATTAAACTTGTTATCATGCTGCTTAGTGCATTCTTTCGTTTATACATATGCTATACCATTTAATGTTATTTTCAATTATCACCCATGTAGATTATTCTTCTGAATGACTAAGTATGTTTCTTGTGATATTGTAAATTGTAGATGTTAAATAATGCAAAATTCAACAATGTATTGCGACACAACATTGTTTTGTTTTAAATAAATAGATAAACTATGTGTAGATAAATATTAAATGCATGAATGAATGAATAAATTAATGAATAAATGATCATGTTAAAGATGTGTGGTACATATGTTGGTAGTCACAACTTAAGTATAATGATGTCGGCAATGATAATGATACGCCACTGATTGGTGTATTTATAACTATCCTGAATATATATCAATAACCATTTGTAAATCGTTTCACTGTAGACATCATATTTACTGTACCAAAAACCTTGGCTTGTTTCAAGATTTTTCAAATACAATTTTTTGAATAAATCTTTTCTAGAGCCCGCACTGTTTTTTAAAACCTTTAGCTGCATACAAGGTTGTAGAATTTTGCATTCTTTCGGATAATTCAAAATATTCAAAGTTTACTTAATTCTAGGCATGAAAATTATTTCAAAATAAATATAAGTTTCCTTTTAGTCTTTCATATTCCAGTTCCTCATTTTGTTGAACATAGCTTAATGCAAAAGTGCACGATATCTTCTATTTTCTCTAAAGAATATGTGGTAACATTTTTCTTTTTTTAAATAATCGTTAGTATAATAGATAATTTGGAAAGCTTGATTCATGCTTCATACATTCAATTTGATAATAATGTTTATCACCATATACACTTCTGTGAAAATCTGGGAAAGTCTGTGATTGAAAATATCTAATATGTTTGTTATATTTCCTTAACACCGGCACAACAAGTGTTATAACGTGGTTGGCAGACAAACTACTCTAGTATTACAGCAGAGTACACCCGGGCTATCATTGCACCAAATTGGCGCTTTGTTCGAGCTGATACAGATTACAGATGAAGGGATAGCATACAGAAGGAAAAGTGTTTCTCAATGGTTTAATCTGATTTGTTTTTATTTATGTACTGTATATATTATAAATGCACAGGTTCTGTACTCAATCTTATTTCGCCTATATCAACATTATGGTAATCAATTATATACTACCTAATTTGTGTAGCCATATATACATGATATAGAGGCAAAGTAACACCATA